AAACAGAAATAATAATTAATAATAAAATATCCGAAATGAAACTACAAAAATCTATACTTACTCTACATTATAATATACAATCATTATAGTAGTATACACACTCACTACAAATTTACTACCATATTAAATGATATATTGTATATATACTTAAATAGTACATAATTGATTTTATATATAAAATTTATAGTATGATACGAGCTAAATATCATTTTATACCTATAGTATTATTGTGGACTACTTTCTTTTGATATAGTTTCCTATAATATAGTTATGTTATACATATACAATTTATACATATATAAAATGCTCATAATATAAAACGTAATTTTTAGGCATGAAATTTTTAGTAAAATAAATCTATATTTATAGTATGTAAGTATATATGTATGTTTTTACGCAATATAATATTATATCACTTTAAAAAAAAAAAAAAATTGCATAATTTATAATATGACCGTATACAAATTTGTTTATTTTATTATTTCTTTTTTTTTTATTTTTTGCATATTATTATATATATATGTATACAGAATATGTAGTATAATATAATAGAATTTATGTATATGCACCCTACATCTAAAATTACAAATTATTAATGTATGCACGTACAAAATAGTAACATGAGATGAAATCAGAATTGATATCATAATATCATATATATAAATACATATCATACCGTATTTATATAACGTAATATGTATAATATAATATATGTATGTTACCCACATAATATTATTTTAAATAATAAAAAATAGGTTTAATAATATTTAAGAAAATATTTTTTTTATTTTATGTTCTGTAAAATAATAATTTGTAAATTATTAACAACAAGTACTTACGACTATTATTTTAAACAATAAATCTTATAATCTAATTAAATTATTTATTTTCATTTAGTATAGCAAAATTTAAAATAATAAAAATATATAGGTATATACAACAATTTGCTTAAAAAAATTGATTTACAATAAAAACTCCAAAAAATTAATTATTTAACAAATTTATAAGTAATACAAAAACAAAACAGAAAAAAAAAACTTTTTAAGGGAGACTGGAGAGAAAGAGTTGAGTTGTGTTGTGTTGTGTGAGAAAGAGAGATAGAGAGAGAGAGAGAGAGATTTAAGAAATAAGAAGGATTAAGAGAAAAAGTGAAAAAGAGTGGAGGGCTCAAAAAAAACAAAAACGACAACAGAGAGTAAATGAGAGAGAAGAGTGAAAAAAATATTATATTTTGTTTTTTTTTTTAAGTTAAAAAAAAATAAAGCTCACAAAATATTGTGTATTTTCTCTTTTTAATTATTTAATATTAATTATAAATTTAGTAGAATATAAAAACACAAAAAATTACCTTAATTAAAGACATTTCGTTTATATATATGTATATGGGTTTGTATAAGTATGTGTATAAATATACACAAATTATAACAATTAATTTGTTATAATTTTCTATTTGTATTTTATTACTTAATTAAAAAATTTGAAATTATTGAAACTCGAATGAAACGAAAAAAGAAAAAACAAATAAGGAAAACAAAATAAAAATTTTAAATTTAATTTGGTATACTTTTTTTTTAACTTTTTTTTTCTAATTATTTTCCAATTTTTTACTATAAAAATTTTAAAATTTCACTTGATTTTTTTTTTTACTATTTTTATGCTTGTTTATTTATTTTGCGTTTTTTTTTTTTTTTGTTATTTTGTTTAATATTCTATTTAGTCCTTATACCACGAAATTTTCTTCTGAAATCGAAATCCTTTCGAGATTTTTGCAAAATTCTTCATTTTTCTTTCATTTTCTGTTTTTATTTTTTTTTTTTTGTTGTATTTATATTTTTTGTTTTTCTGATTTTCTTGTATTATTCATTTAAATTTTGCTTTTTTTTTGTCAGTGTGTGTTGCTTTTGTTGTTTTTTCTACTATTTTTTATTTTCATGTTTTTTTTTCTTTTCTTTTTTATTGGTAATGTGATTTAATTTATCAGAAAATGTTTATTTAATATATTTTTAATTATGTATAATTTTCTAGATTTTTTTTTCTTTTTATTCTATTTTACTTTTTATCGTTTAATATTTATTTTATATTGTTACAAATATTTTTTATCACTTCATATTTTTATTCCTTAAATAATTTTATATTGTATGATGTTACTTTTTTTTCCTTGCTTCTTTTTGTAAGAAAAGAAATTTTGTTTGGCGTTGATTTTAGTAATTTGTTGGGCTTTTATTTTTTATTAAATAGAAATTATTAGAGAAAATAAAAAGTAAAATAAAAACATAATTTTTTTTTAATTTTTTGCTTTATTTTACAGCGGTTTAATGAAAAAACTTTTTTCATTAAATTTTATATGTTTTTTTTTTCCTGATTTTATTACCTTACCATGACCGACTGACACTTAATTTTTTTTCGTATAAAATAGAAAAAAAAATAAGCAAAAAAAATGTTTCAATTTTTTTTTTGTTTTTTTTTTTTTTAGTTTTTCTTTTATAGTCTTTGGTGATTTTTTGTTATTCTCACATATTATAGATATACAAATTTAGGTTTTTACCTTCTTCAAAAAGGATTTCCTTAAGGATATCAATGTATAAAACAAAAAAAAAAAATTATATGGTTTTTTTTTGCTTTTGATAGGAAATTCTATGTGCTGCGCATATTTCAAAATTTAGAAAGGAAAAATCATATTAAATTTTTAATGTGGATATCTAATAAGAGATGGTGCTTTCAAAGTAGATTTACCGTTATTTTAAGGTTATGTTTTCTTGTTTCAATTTTTTTTTTAAATTTGTAAATGTTTCAATTTACCTTTACATGAATCTAAAAAGGTAAACCGCTATAATTCGGACTTATTTTTTACATTTGTAACATAAAATGCACAATATCTTTAATGTTTTAAGGATTAAACCGAATAATGTAATATATATTTGAAAAGTTTGAACTTTTTCCTTTATTTTGGTTTCGATCGGTTTTAACTATTTTCTAGCAATTTGATTCTAACAAATTCCCTATATAAAACTAATCGCTCAAAAAAATAACATTAAAATAATTTAAATAACACGTTTCAATGCCAATGTTCCTAATGTTGTCCTAAAAAATTGACGAAAAATGTATAAAATTAGAAAAAATAGATCTAAATCTTCATATGTTTTAAAACCTTAACTATGAAAACCTAAAAACCTAAACTTAAATATGAAAAATTATGAAAAATATTTTTGTTTTTAAATTTTAGATGAAAGTGCAACATTGTTTGGTAAAATCGAACCGTTTAAATCCCACAAAAACTAAAAATTAAATTAAAATCATTATGGCACTAAACTTGAAAATCAACTTAATTGTAAATTATATAGGTACCTACATATTTTAAAATATATTTTGTTTTGATTTGTACCTTTATGTAAACTTTATAAGAAGTTATTATAAAATAAACGCAATAGGATCGAATCATATCCATAGGACTGAATTACAGACGTTTACCTTTCAAAAATAATTAAATATGAAAATGATAGAATAAAAATTAAATTGGTAGAGTAACAGCGAAAATGACAGTGTATAATATTATATAATGGCATTAACAATGAATTTATATAGGTAGACACATTACCTACATACATAATCTACATACATAAACTAAAAATTTGTATATTACTTACATGTTTCCACAATGCTAATATACCTGCATCATCAAGCCATTTTTGAAGTTGATTTTGTTAAATAGTAAATATTTTAACAATGAAAACCATCACTATACTCTTCTCAGATTCATATCTCGGCTTTCAACTTTTCTGAATGAAACCTTTAACTATTGGTTCCTTTTTCAGTTCCAATTCAACACAGACGCTGCTTAAAATGTATATGTTTTTTTAGATATATCTTTTGGAACTGAATAAAGTCTAAAATATTGCCTTTTATGATTTTGTTTTTTATACAATGTAGGTAGGTATCTGCTCTTATTTAACTTTTTCTAGCATAGTTAAAATACATATTAAAAAAACAGCGTTCCACAAATCGCTTGAACTTCTGCATTATATAGGTCACTCCACAATAATTGAAATATTTTTAGTCCAAACTTTGATTTCTTTGGAAGAAAATAAAATTTCCTTAGAATAATAATTTTCGTTTTGAATTCCATTTGATTTTCGCTAGTAAATTCTCCTTTGAATTGTTGATTATATTTATCTTTATTTAAAATTCATTAGATCGAATAACTTGTTATAATAACTAAATATTCCTATTATATATTCGCCAATAAAAAAAATACAAAGCTCATTAAAAAAGAAAAATTCAAATAACGAAAAGGAATTTTTTTTTAAAAGTGACAACGTCATTAAAAACTCAACAATGTTGAACAGTTAAGTAAAAGCGGACTACGAGCAAATTTTTGATACTTTTTGCAATCAGGAAGTTTAACCTAAGAATTTTATTTCAGTAACCAGGCGTATAATTAAATTAAAATGACAGAATTTAATAAAATTTAACAAAAATATTATAATTTTAAAACAAATACAAAAATATCAAAATTTACTAAACTAAGTTAACAAAAGTGAAATTAATAAAATGAAAATAAACTTTTGATGTATTTATCGGCTTTTACAACTACATGAACTCAATGGTAAGGTTACAACTTCCATGTCAACATTATTTTATTGAACTTAGAGAATAAAAGTTAAAAATGTTTTTGTGACTATCTTAAAAAAGTTAAAATTATATTTTTATCTTTATTATTTATATTTTAAATGTAAAATATCATATGATATCATAATTGCGACTCTACATTAATTTTCTCATCTAATTTTGTCTATTCCAATCTTTATCCCATTAACTTTTATTATTTGAAAAATTCACCATTTGATTGTGTCAATAATTTGTTGTCATTATAGTATGTGTCAATAATTTTAATTTCCTAAAACATGCCATTTAAGTGTCAACTTAAAAGCAACAAGCGAATTAAGTTCCACTAAAACATATGATGTGGAATTTAATTTTGACAATTCAAATTTGATAATTATTTGTTTATAAAATTTTTTTATCACTTTTGAATTAAAAAAAAAGGAATAAGGAAAATTTTTAAAAATTAAATTCAACAAATTTTGTTAAATTTTAAAATTTCAAAGTAAATTATAAAAATATGGAAGCTACGCATAAACCAATTGTTCTTGTAATTTCTGAAACAACAAAAACAACACCTATTAGCATAATTAACAGTATGTGTAACAATTGATTTTTTTTTTTAAAGAAACAAATATGTAGTAGGTGCATAGTTACCTAGGTATCTATGTACAGAAATTTAGAAATATATTCCTAGTATTATTTACTAAATATTTTATCATTTGCAGAAATACGTAAATCAGATGAAAATGAAAATGTTTCAGAAGTTGAAAACAAATCTGGATCACCGCTTAAAGGATATAGTCATGGTATTAAAAATAAATATTATGAAACACAAATACTGCTTATGCCATTCGACGATGATTTAGTTTTGTTACCTTCAGACATTCTGCCTCAAATCGAAGGAATTTTAATATATTTTGATCCTAAAGTTGTAAGTCATGTATACTACGAGATTTATTAAAAAATTTTTTTAATATGTTACATACAAAAATTTTAGAGAACTTTTTCAACAAAAATACAAACATATGCTGATTTTCTTGAGTCAAATGGAATTGAACTTGGTATTTTACTATGTGATTTATTGTATGACAATATTGCAGAAGGATTAACATACAAAGAAGTACGAGAGAAATGTACAGCATTGGATGTTATTGAATTAGCTCGCACAAATGAAGAGAATGAGGATAATCATTTAAATCCTTGTGGATATGATGAACTTCATCAAGTTTTAAGAAATGTTATATGGTCAAATGTCAGTATGACAGGAGGTTAGTTTTGAATATCACAAAGTTTTCAGGAGTTCTTGAAATATTGATGATCTGATTCATAAATGAGAACTAAATTATTTCTGAATATTTTGAAAAACGCATCTCATATAATTTACTATATATATGCATATAATGTACATATGAAAGTTGAACAAATAAGAAAATATCTTAAAAAAGTAAATCATTTCGGAGCGGCTTTAAAACAATTGATTATATGTACATATGTTTCGAACAAATAATTAATGTATTTTCGGTGCAAAGAAGCTTCAAGCTTAAATATCATGATAAAGTTATAATTAAAAATTAAGTTGGCACCTACCACGTAATTTAAATTACTTGGAAAATTCAAAAAAAAGTTATTTAACAAGACAAGATCTCATAAATTCAAAATTTTTGTTAAAATTTCCATAACATATTAATAGCTTGCTGTAGGGCAATTCAGTTTTAAGAATACACAATTACATATATTAATTCGGAATTCCATAGATTATGTTCCTATCTATGTACAGGTATACTTAACGAAAAAAACATAATACAGAATCCACCACCTCCTGAAAGTATGCAAGAATATTCAATAATATAAATCCACAAATGAATGTGAGTTACATTTTTTAAAATCAATCTTTAAAATTCTGAAAACTTAATATTATTATATAACTAATTTAATACATTAATTGTATCCTCATCCTCGTCATTCATGAAATTTATTGAAAGAATATGGACTTTGTTTTCAGTTTTTTTTTTAATCAGTTAAGCATTTTGTTAATTTGAACCTGAGTTATATTTTAATTTCTGTCAGACACCTTCCAACAGAAATTTTGTAATATTAGAGGAATGATTCAGCTTGATTAAGAACGACAGAACTGTGCTAAATTAAAAACTAAATAAGTCTTAAACAATTACAAATTTTTTATTTATAAATCTAATAATTTTGAGTTCCAAAATATAAGTTTGCACTTTAATTTATTTAATTAAAAAAAAATGTAGGAATAAACTAATAAATTACAGATACATATTTTTATTATTATTATTAAAATTAAAACAAAAGTGTTACAGCTTTATATTATAAATTAAAAAATAAACAAAAAAAGAACAAACTGAAAACAAAAAATATACAAAAATTTTTCAATTTTAGCTTCAGCAACCAGTAGTATTGCAGCAAGTCGTGTTAATTCAGGTCCTTTGAATCCAACAAATCCCACGGATCGTACTATGGAAAATGAATTGGAAATGTTTGAAAAACTTTTAAGTGAAGTTCTTATGTTCAAAGATACAACTTCCGGTTTATCACGTAATGAACGTCTATTGTATGCTGAACAAATAGCTGGTAAATTTGATAAACTTCTTGAAGATGATTCTAGTGATGCCGAAAAATAAATTAAATTTTACATTATGTTAGTAAGCACACAATGAAAATAAATTAAAAGACATAAAGTTTTATTATTTATAAGAATATTGGAAACAAAATAAAATATTTATATTATTTTAGGAATAAACCTTTAAAAGTTTTCGAAAATAATTGTTAAAAAAAAACTATAATTATTAGATGTTTCATAATTATATTGAAATAAATAAAATTAATTATAAAAGTAAAATATTTTTATATTTTTTGTTAATTATTTTGGTAAAATTTTATTGTATTTTGTTACAATGTTTTTAACTATTTTAATAACTTATCTTGCAATCTTTGATTGAAAATACTTTATTAATGTAATTTTATATATTCAAAAGATTATTTCCACAATATTTTGTTAAGGAACAAGCACACTTTACCGGCACATAGTAGCAATATTGTATAAAAAGTTTGAGCTATGTATAATCTTTTTGTATTTAATTTTTTTTTTAAATACATACGAACTGGAGGTTTTACACATTACGGGATATAGGAATGCATATTTCGTTTTTTATAATTCATACTTGAAAATTATCATTTCTAGGATTACATTATTGGTTAAAAAACTAGGTGAATTCTCAATAACCTGCGATTAATTAAGTAAAAATCTCAGAAATGTAAAGAATTTTGTTATAATAGCTTGCCGGGTAATAAAGCACTATCAATATTGGACTTTGTAAAAAAATTGCTTTGTAAAAAAAATAACACCAAGTATTTTAGCGAATTCACCAGATCAAGAGATTTCGCAAAACATAATAAACCTGTTAACATGTCAAATATTTATCTAATTTATGGATGTCTAATTTGTAAGCTGAATATCAATCTGCATATTATGCTAAATATTGTGAAGTTTTGTAATATGTAAATAAATCAAATATTATTTAATTATTAATTTAATAGCTTTAATAGTTTTTAGACTTTAAGATTTCCAGGATTAATTAAAACAAGCTATCTGACTGTAAACAAGCTACCTGATCAAAAACACATGTATTATTTTCCATTTCCGAGTGCAATAAGGCCTCAGCATGGTGTTTGTAGTGTTAGAAGAGTTACTATCTAAGCATCTTCAAAAATTCAAAACAATTTTAAATTATGTTAGTACAATCATTGAATGAACTAATTATTTTATTAACAAATATGTAGCTTCAAAGATCTGTTCTACTCATATACACTCAAATAAAACAATTCAAGTAAGGTTAATAAAATACTAGTTAAATAAGAAACAACTTGTTATTCAATTCTAAATTAAACCCCAATTAAAAGTATAAGAAATTAATAGCTAAAATTTTATATAAAATAATTTATATTTTATTATTTATTAATTATATTTTATTTTTCTCAATAACTTAAGTATTATATTCATGTCAATGGATTTGCACTGGAATTTCACTTCTTATTAGGGTATTTAGGCTCTGATCATCTATCTGGCTATTTTTCTCCAAGTGAGAAGAAAGTGAGTAACTATCACATATTAATTTTATAATGTAATTTTCGAATGAGAAGAATTATTCCGTATTGGTTCCGTATCTGGTTTTTGGTTAAAATTTATACAAAATTTATTCACTAAATTTCTGAAGGTCTTAAGTTATTAAGTCGATAATTTGAGAAAAAATGTAAAAATCTAATTGAAAAACTGAGTAAGTAATCTTATTGGAGAAATGAAATATCCATTATAAAAAAACAGAGAATTCTGATTTGAAAGTGAATAAAAAATGAGCTAAAAAAACTAGTTAAACAAGATTAGACTGTTAAATGTAAGAGATTCCGATAAAAGTGCTGGTAAAACCAAAATTATATTGAAATACCCAAATTTTTAAAAACAAATTTAATTAGCAAAAACACATATCATAAATAAATGGGTCAATAATATAAAATGTAATAAGAGCTCTTTCAGAAGCTAGGACAGAAGCTAGTCAGCTGGGAAGCCGTTGAAAATGTCTCAGAGAGCTCTATATATGAATGTTTTTTTTATATTATGTAGCGTGTATCTGCTTTTTCTCCTATAAGTGTAAAAATTTTATTGCTACCTTACAAATTTTGGAAGTTTTACTTTTGACTTGACCCTTAAATACATTATGATTATCAATTGAATAATGCTAATTATTTAAGTTATATGAGCTATCGTAAAATATATAAATTTTATTCGAATTTTGTATAAATCTTGTTCAAAATTTCGTATACCTGAATGTTTCAATATAATTAAAACAATTTTAATTAAATACTTACAACAGAGCTTACCATTTTCTTCCTGTATATATATATAGGATATATACTATTAGTTAAAGGATCGAAAATTAATAAAACTTTTGTTCCAGAGTGAAAAGAAGAAAATTTCAGAATATGTTGATATACCTTAGTTTTTTGCTTATAACTTCCGCCCCAAAAATTATAGAAACTTTAAACAAACAGCTTTTGAAATAGCTAATAGAGTTTTTGAAAGGGCTATACTGCTCATCTTACTATATCTCCTGTACAACAAAGTAATTTTTAACTTCAGTGTTTTAAGTTCAATGACTTCAATTAATGCTTAAGAAACTGCGCAAAATTCTATAAAAAAGAAAGTTTCTAAAAAATTCATACAAATTTGACGAGATAAGATAAAAGATAAAACATGGAAAATTGTAATTTTTCTAAGGTTCCAATGTTTGTGCTTTCGAAAATACACGAAATACTCAAAAAGTAATTCTTTGGAACGGAAATTGTAATCAAAAAGACTTGAACTAGTATAAATTTTTCGGAAACCATTGAGATTGGACACTCATTCCTGAACAAAAGTTTTATACTTACTCTCGAAATTCACATTTTTTTTAAACTTCAAAATTCAAAATTTACAAATAGTACACTATGTATATGAATTAGTGATGCGGTTTCGTTTGATATAATTTAAACTTCAGGATTCAGTTTCTACATGCGTTACCAATTACTATGTTCACATATTATGATGTAGTAATCACATATCTGACTTTAATTACTGCTCGAAAGCCAACTTGTATAAAAAAAGGGCTTTCTGAGCAACAATCAAAATTGTATATGTAATTTTTTATTGTACTGCAACTCGTTCTTTAACCAAACTCTGAAATGATAAAATATTAATAAATATATAAAATTAAGTATAGATTTTTTTGATAATTATTTTATATGCCGGTTTACATGAGAAAATGTGTGGCATATTTTCTATATAAACCCTTGGGAGAATTTAATTAAATTATAGCTTTCATCCTTAAATTATTGCTATAATTTGTTTTTGCTTGATATTTAAGTATTAAATTCCTGCAGATTATCTGTTTCATTTAATTTGAAAATATAAGTAAGCCTTTACGAAAGGAAGAACGTGTATACATATTTGAAAATGCATAAAAGATAAGTGTCTCGTACAACACCAATCATTTATTGATCATTTGAAATTACACTTAATGACTTTCTTATAGCATTGGTTTCATACTTACATCGATTGTATTTTAAAATTATTAGAAATTATTATTTCAACTTTTAAACTATGCAACCAACATATGGCAATTAATTCATAGATAGATTAAGATACCATTATAAAGATCTTTCAAGATCAACTCACAAACGCAACGAAAAAGAAACAAAATAAATTGTTTAAATTGTTAAGAATTTTAAATATTATTCAAAAATCCTAACAATAATTTCCTTTCCAAAGCTATTTCATCGAAAATAAATTAATCCGCCTATTCGGTAATACCGCAATGTTCAATTAAGGGTTAAAATTGACTTTTAAACGTCCCAAGTATTTCAACCAAAAATTTTATAAATATCCTTAAAATTGTTAAACGAAAACATTTTAATTTATTTATAAATCTAATTATTCATCTTTTGTCCTAAATAGGTTCACTGAAACAAAGTCAAATTTATTCAAAAAAGACGATACAAAAAACAATTTGAAGTAGAGTCCAAAAACTGACTTTATGGCGATATATGGAAATAAAATCAAATTTTAATTTCGACAATATTCCCAAAAAAATTACTTCCTTCTTCTAATTAACTATTAAGCTATAATATTTCAGACCCAATTACCAATTAAAGTCAATTCAACTTTATTTAAGTTTTTTAAAAATTCCCAAATTTTTTTTTTTGGAAGTAAGGTCTATCATTATTTTCTTTTTGATTTTGTTTCTAATCCCTTTTTTTTTCGAAATTAAATTGAGTTAAAAATTTGACGTAATTTCGATAGTTTTGGAATGAAAGAATATGAGTACGAATTAATTTTTTTCAATACATTTCAGTGTACAACAAAATTAAGTAACAAACATGAATAAATAGTTAAAACTTTCTCATGCAACATAGAAAATTTGAAACATATCAATCTTGGTACGTGTTCCATTGAATTGCCATTCAGAAGTTATGATACCCTAATCGACACTCTGTGGAATTGAATCTGATATACAATAATGAAATCAATTGTAGTGGAATTGAAAAAAAAAAATTAAAAGTTTTTAATTACTAATTTAAATTATTAAAAAAAATTTTCAAGCTCAATTTAAAAAATTAATTTGAAGTTCTGATTTTATTTCCACAATTAATTTGAAGTATAAATTTTGTGTTGTTGAAATTTGTGCCCATAATTTGCTCGTGCATCGAAATAAAGTGGCCGCATTTCTGCAAAATATATCAATAAAACTAAAACCCAATTTAGACAATTTTGAAATTATAATATATAAATAAATAATAAATAATTTGAATAAATCTATTTTATAATAAGCACTTCAATAAAATCATGTTGAAAAATTTATAAAATGTTCACAAGAAAATTAAAATTTAAACTTAAAATTAAATACAAAACTAAGAGAAGAGAGCAACACTTTTCAAATTATTAAAAATTTTTTGTTATTACAATTAAATTTTACAAATAAAATTCCAATTATTTTCTGAATTTATTTTAAAAATTATTAAATTTTAATGAAACATTACAAATTTTCTCTCCCAATTTGTTAAAAAATTCAAATTAATTTCTGCCAATTTTTATGAAGTTTAGTTAGAATTAATTTCACCATTAATTCTATCAAACTATATTTTTAATTAAAATATTATTTTGAAAATAAAAAATTATTATTAAATTTTATTAATATTAAAATAAATTTTGAAATTTTTATCTTCTTAACTCTATGAAATCTGAATTGTAACTGCACTGTAAGAAAATTCATAGTT